GTATTCCAGTTTGGGCCTGTCCAACCGAGAACCTTTTATGTTTTGTATATAAGTTTACGCTTGCATGCATATTAGGTTAACGTTTTCAGAGATCTACGAAATAGCGATTCATCTAGACGATAACAGGTTTCTTTAATCGTTCTTGTAACCTTCCAATCCTCTACAGTTGATGTTCCTAATAGAGCTCTTCAGAGGATTTTGTTTAATCATTCGACACGTTTGATTTCATCTTGACTTGTTCTTATTATTGCGTTCATACTGTTTTATGTTTATATACTTGTTCAAGATCTAATCGATCTTTGCAGATTAAAGGTTAGTTTAATCTCAACAGGAGTTTAGTCCCCTTTATATATGGGTGGGAGTTGGAGCTCAGTGGAATTTTACCCGATACTGCCGTTAAACAGGGCTTTTGGTCGCACCCAATTTAGTGGTCGTGATAATAAACTAATATTTTCCAAGTAATTGGAAATATGTGTTATGTATTTTTATTTCCTTTTATCACGACTTAACGGCATATAAACATACACAATTGAAATGTTTATTAAATTTGACGACTTCTCCTTAACGGAACTTTTGAATAGTGGAATATTCCGTTAACGGTAACGGAGAAATGTAACGGGGCAACTTGGATTGTCACAGACATTGCCAAAAAAAATGTGACTTTTAGAAAAATTAGGATGGAGACCAGCCACACCAGCAAACTCTTCAAGGCTCTCCTTAATCACCCTCACCGAAGCAGAATTGCCATGACAAAAGATCATCAAATCATCGGCAAAACAGAGATGAGTGAGCTTGAGCTTCTTACATTTCCAATGGAACTTGAATAACGGCTCACTTGCTATTCTTCTTTGAAGAATCAAATTAAAAGCTTCCATGACCAGAGTAAAAAGATAGGGGGATAAAGGACATCCATGTCTAAGACCTCTCTTCCCTTCAAAATATCCATGAAAAGACCCATTTATGCTGATCATATACGATGGGGAAGTCACACATTGCATGATCCACTTTATCATAGCAGGATGGAATCCAAAAAGAAAAAGAATATCTTGGAGAAATGACCAGCTTACTGTGTCATAAGCTTTTTGGATATCCACCTTGAGAGCACATCTAGAAAAACCCCGATCCCTGTGATAACCCCGGACAAGTTCTTGAGAGAGAAGAATATTATCAGTGATCGATCTACCAGGAATAAAAGCAGACTGATTTTCAGCAACAATAGACCCCAAATGATTTCTTATTCTAGCAACAATCACCTTGCTAATGCATTTATATATAACCGAACAACAAGAAATAGGTCTAAAATCACTAACTTTTCCAGGGGAATCAACTTTAGGGACTAAAGCGATGACAGTTGCATTCACTTCTTTGAGGATTTTCCCACTAGCAAAAAATTCTTTAACAACATGACAAAAATCCTCCCCTAATATCAACCACATAGATTTAAAAAATTTAGCCGAGTAGCCATCAGGTCCAGGAGATTTATCATCATCAATATCAAAAAGAGCGGATTTAATCTCTTCATTAGTCCCTACTTTGATCATCTCAACAGCATCCACAAGGTCTAATTTTTTAAAGAATAAAGAATTAGGCTGATTAATTTCAGCACAGGGAAAATCAGATCCAAGAAAGACTTTAAAGTAGTCCACAAATTCTTTATAAACATCATCTCCATCCAACCATTCACCTTGACGATTCATGATAGATTCAATTCTATTTTTATGTGATCTCCCTTTAACAATTCTGTGAAAAAACTTAGAATTGCTATCACCTTCTTTGAGCCAGTGAATTTTAGCTTTTTGTTTAAAGAAATTTTCCTCCTTTTCACACGCTTTTTTAAATTCTCCAAGAAAGATGGCTTCTAATTCACGAAGCTGAATGTTATATGGATCCGCATCAAGATCCATTTGGATCGCTTCCAACTCATTACGAAAATGATTGACATTATCCGAGAAATGCCCCTGAGCTTTTAACAGATTACGAATTGGTTTTTTGAGGATTTTGAGTTATTGAACTAAACGGAACATTTTGATTCCCTGAACCTCAACTTTCCAGTGCTTTTCCACCAAATCCTTCAACTCCGGCTTCAAGGTAAGAACATTAGGGAATTTGAAAGGAAGAACTTTAAATTTGATCTTCATCGGAATTTTGATAACAATTGGGATGTGATCAGAAATTCCATAAGGGAGAAAGGAAGCATAAATAGAAGGAAACACATCAAGTAACTTGCAGTTGCCCATCACACGGTCAAGTTTTTTCAACATACCATTGTTACCCAACGGTTTTTGATTCCAAGTGAAGTTTAGCCCATTGCTATTAATATCTTGGATTTCAATAGAATTGATGCAATCAAGGAAATCCACCATGCCTCTAGTATATCTTGAAGATCTAGTAGTACTCTCATTGAGATTAAGAGTACATTAAAGTCACCCCCTACCAGCCAGGGATCATCCCTAACCAAACCTTTATGATGAATTAAGGAAGCCCAAAGAGCTCTTCTATCCATATACTTGTTAGCAGCATAGACAATAGAACAAAAGACATACTCATTATTATGGGCAAACGTGACTTTATAATGAAAAACTTGATCATTGTGATCAATCAAGTTAACATTAAAAATATTAGGGTTCCACCCAATAATAATACGAGAAGTACAACCTGTTGCTTTATTAGCAATCCACTTCCATGACCCAAAGATCTTATCACAATTCACTTCAAGTTTATTAAAATTAACTTGAGGTTCAAGGATAGCAAGTAAACTCAAATTATTAGACTCCATCAACTTTTTTATTTCTTTTTGTTTAGGGGAAAAATTTAAACCCCTAACATTCCAAATCCCAAAGCTAATCGTCATTGAGAGAAGTTTCCATGTTGGTATCTGTCAAAGGGATACCTCCTATAACCTCCATTTGATCCACAGAATCCAAATAAGCTAAATCAGCTTCATCAACTCCCTTTCTAGAAAAAATAAAAGGGGTCTCATCTTCCAAATCATTAAGGACTTCAAATTTATTTTTAGATAACAGATTCCTAGAACCATTACCCATCAAAGGTTGAGGTTTAGAATCAAAATTCGAGCTTACTTTGAAATCCTGACCAGAATTCGGAACATATTTTTGCCCAGCCACATTCATTCTTCCTCTAACTTCAGGCTTAACTACTTCCTCTTTATTCCCATTTCCAGAAAAAGATCCCACCATTTCCTTTTTACCCATAGAAACCGCATTACTATTCTCCTTTTTCAAAAAATAATTATTTTTACTCGATTGCCCCTGCTCAAAATTTCTGCCATAAGAATTTCCATTCACATTTTGATTTTTCCCATTATACCCCTGTGTACCTTTTCCTTTATTCCATTGACTTCCTCCAACCGAGAAACCAATCTTAGCATTTTTATTCCCTTTTTTCCCTTAAATACCAACATTATTTCCATTCCCTGCCTTTCCTCCTCCATGATTTATCCCTTTTTTTCCCTTGATTCAAATTTTGATTATTATTTCTCATTTCCTCCTTCAGCTTTTCTCCCATGTTATTACCTCTATTTCTTTTGACAATAGTTTGGAATCCTTCATTATCCCCCTCCACAGTTTTTGTACTAGCAATAAGGACTTCCATAAGATCAACTTTTTTCTCCTCTCCAACCTTAGAGTTATCAATAGAATTAATTTCCTTAGCTAAAAGAATTCCACGTGTAGCATCTTTATGACCATAGACCTTGCAATAAGAACATTTAGAAGGGTTCCAAGCATATTCAATTTTGCATTTGGATGAAATTCTCTCACCAGTTACAAGATCCGAAGAGTATACTTCTATTTCTTTGAGCCAATCTTTAGCAGCCGACATTTCAATTAATATTCTCATAAAAGTTGGCCGTCCCCAATGCTCTTGACACATCTTGGCTGTATGAGCATCAACATCAAGAGGTTTTCCAATCTCCCAAGAAATATGACTAAGCCCAGTCCCATTCCAATATTCCAAAGGAACGTTATAAATTTTCACCCACACAGGGACCTTGTCATGTTGATCTTTGACTGAGCTTATTCCAGTTGTCCATCTTCTCACAATAAGAGCACTATCAAAAATCATCCAAACTCCCCCTTCAAGAACATTTAGCATACCTTGTTCTGAGCTAAATCTGAAAAAGTAAATCCCTTCTTCATTTACCATAACCTCTTCCAGTCCATGTTTTTGCTACATATTATGCGCAAACTTATTAACATTAAAGAAGTTAACATGTTTATCAATAAAATACCTATAAAGAGTAGTCTTGAAAGGACTACATCCCTTAAGGATATCACACAAAGGCATTTCCACAACTCCATCTGGAAGATCAGCACTTTTCTTTACTTTCGAAATAAGATTGGCTGTATTAAGCTTCTTTCCACTCACTTTTTCAGCATAAGAGATTGGTTCTTTCACTTCCAAATCCACAGGAATAGATTTAGGGAGGGAAGGGTTGACCTTATTCTTCAAATCCCCTGCCTTCATTTGCTCCAACATAGCTTCAGATATGAATAAACCTCCATTACTATTTCGAGTATTTTCTTTTTTATCCTCTATTCCATCAATCACCATTTGGACATTACTACCCTCCATATCAGGATCAACATATTTGAATTTAAATTCCCCTTCATTAACAATATCAAGATGGCTAAACTTACTAGGGAAATGATATAAGATTTCATTACAAACTTTTTTCTTTTTTCTCCCTAAACCCTAAACCCTAAACTCAAGTGAGTAAACTTATCTATACATGTTGATGTAGTTTAATTTATGTTCTGTTTAATACTCTACTTGAATATTACAACTTCTATACATGTTGGTGTAGTTTAATGATTTCTTTAATTTATGTTATGTTTAATACTCTACTTGAGTAAACTTATCTGTATATGTTCTATACTTTTACTTTGAGCTTTATGATATCTTTAACTTAAAAATAAATGATTACTTTGTTCTTTTTCTAAACACAAGTCTTGGTAAGACTTGTTAGACCTGATGATCATATGTATCCCGATTATGTGGATGTGCGTGGTGTGGAATTTGGTTTGGGGATAGGATATAACTCAAAACCCAAAGTAGCTCCTCCTACTGGCTCAGCTGTTAAGTCGCTTAGGATAGGAGTGATGCCTCAGTTCAAAAGCAGCTTTGTTGCTGCTTCAGCTTCATCCAATAATTATGGAAATCAGGGGAGCAAGAAAATGGTATTGTCTGGCTTTGTTTCTGGTGGAATCAACTTCAATAGGATGAATATATTATGAAGACAAGTCGTTTGATGGAATCAACTTCATATGAGTAAGTTCAAATATTTCTTCTTATTCAATATAGATAAACTATAAATTTAAATCCTGCCGTTGATGATATTGAAGACATAAAGAGACAAAAAAGGCATAATAAGAAAGGAGAATTTACATTTTATGTTTACTTGATGAACATAACATACTTCATAATATAACATACTTCATAATAAACAGACAATAAAAGGTATAATAATAAATACTTCATTGATAATATAACATACTTCATAATAAGAAAGGAGAATTTGCATTTTATGTTTATTTGATGAAGGTGATGGATGTAAACTTGATTCTGGAACTCTCAGTCTACCAATGTTAGAGTTTAATTGGGTAATTGAAGGTGATTTTGGTTCTTGAAACGAGACTCAAGATATCTTATTTTGCCATGGCTAGAAGCTTTGGAAGAAACGAGACTCAAGCAAAAGTAAACACCTAGGGAGTTGTTGGCACATAGTAAGCTAGATGATGCAATTGTATATAAATGAGTTCATTTTTTATAACATTTACTCACTTTTGGAATAATTATTTGTATTTGACATATTAGTGAAATAAATTATCTTTGTTATTTATTGTATTTTATTTTGTATTATGAGATTTTTAATGTATTATTTAATTTGAAAATTAGTAAATCTATAAATAATATTTTTTTTAACATTTAAAATTACGATACGTAAACATGTGTGTCATCTTCATTTATGACATGGCCTTTCTTGACAGGGGTTTTCTTGATACGCATTGCGTGTTATTAACACGTGCGTCGTAAGGTTACGACATGCAAATGCGTGTCGTCTTCCTTTATGACAGGGTCTTCCTTGATACGCATTGCGTGTCGTACACGCGCGTTGTAATTGCGCGTCGTAAATGCGCGTCGTCTCTCTTTATGACAGGGCCTTCCTTGACGCGCATTTGCGCGTCGTCTGAGCCTTTTACTGTTGGAATAGTGTCTAAGGCTGCAACTATATTAGGCAAGTATTTGATCCGGTTGTGCATGGTCCTTTTGGGTTGCCTTCACCATAGCAACTTGTTGGATGATTTGTTAAGAGAGAGTAAATATTATAAGGAATAATATATGGTTATTTGATTAATATAAGTCATAGATTAATTGGGATTAATTTGGTGACTTAAAGAGATTAATTAAATAAAGGGGTATAAACTGTCAATTGTTTGATAGTTAAACTTTAGACTATAAATCCATTGGGATATGCTTTGGACGAATTCTATGAGATATAGGATAGCTAAAATCGTCCAAAGGCTTATCTATGGAATGGATTTGGATAGCCTTAAGAGAAGATTATCCAATTAGGGTTTAGTTTGTAACCCTTAAGGAGTCTACAAGTATAAATAGACCCTAGGGGTGAGGGAATTCTACACACCATCTAAAGTAGAGATACTCTGGCCGAATTCCTCCCCTCTCCTCTCTCCTAAATCATCTTGCTTGCTATTGGTGTTTGTAAGCCATTAGAGGAGTGACATTTGTGACTCTAGAAGCTCCAAGACAACAAGATCAACAAGGAACTCAAAGGTATGATTCTAGATCTGTTTCAATGTTGTTATTTAACCTAATTAGCCATTAGAAGTCTTGGATTCAAAGCATGTTTAATTAGAAAGCCTAGATCCAAGCATTAGGGTTTTGCATGCGCACATAGGAAAGTTCTTATGGCTAAAACCCATCAGTGGTATCAAAGCCTAGCTTGGTTTTCTTTAAATTGTTGCTTGATTAACTGAAACAAACCTGCAAAATTCGATTTTGGGTTTATGAGTCATGTACTCGGCGAGTTCCAAAGTGGACTCGACGAGTAGGCCTGTACTCGGCGAGTACGGGGTCTGGATTAGGCAAAACCGGGATTTTTTTTCATGTTTATCTTATGGAAACTTACCTTAATCATATTAGATCAACCCTAATCCGTTTTTTTGATATATATGACTATAATCTTGATCTAATTAAAGATATTTATCATCTAATAAAATATTTAATTTCCTTATGTGATAAATGATTAATTATTTTGATAATTATCTTAAAAGAAATCTTGGATAAATCAAATAAAGATAATTAGGATATTAATTGTTAATTGGAATTATTTTTTATTTGATCCTTCATGTTTTAAATGTTTAAAACCTACCCTAAAGTTTTGAAATTTATATTTGTGATTAAAAGTTTTAATTTAGACAACTTAAATTTCAAACCCTAGATTTTAAAAGGTTTTAAAATACAACCCTATACTAATATGATATTACTAGAATAATATATATATGTATAACTAAATGCTAGTCTTACCGTTAGTAGGCCTCATTCACGAAGCCGATCTATAAGGTGGGTATAAGGTTGCGGCCTATAAAATGGCGCTTAATGGGTGTACACTCACACCCACCGCTTGCTTGATTGGTGGAGGGTCGTTAGCCGAACGGGTAGGATAGGGCAACCTCATCTTCTCATTAAAAGTATAATAAGAAATACAAAGTAACTACACGTTTTAAAAATTTCCCAATCTTAGTTACTTTAGGAAAAGTGAATTGATGCAATCCCATGAAATTACACTTTGCACCTTGCTAAGAAGTTAGTGGAGCGTGTGTGGTTTACCGGCACACTAATTGGTTCTAAGCGAAGGTGGCAAAGGGTGATTCATTGTTTATCATAGTTCGATGGAGCGTGTGTGGTTTACCGGCACATCGAATAGGTGATCGTTACAATGAAGGCACCATGTGAATTTGCATGGTAATTCACACCCGCTTTGTGATCCTCGGCATCCCAGTCACAAACGAGAGGGGCATATCGAGATTTAAACATGCCATTGAATAGTTTCAATGAATCTCATCCGAACCTAGGAATTCTCAAAAACACTTAGGACTAATAGTTTAAGTTTTGTGATGGAGAATTAGTGAATCGTCATTCACTTACCTTCAATTTATTTGCATGTTAGATTACGCATCCCTTTTCTAGTATGTAAATGTTATTGTTGGATCCTAGCCCTAATTTTCTTATTGGGTGATAATTAGGGATTATTATTCTAATCTATCTTTGTCCTTTTCTAATTGAAGATGTCGAACGCAAACAACGCTGCTGCTAGTTCTTTCACGTTGATGAGCCTTTGCCAAAAGGTCACCTTCGATGGAACGAACTTTAGCGAATGGATAAGATACATTCGCACCATTGCTCGCTATGAGGATAAAGAGTATGTCCTCGATGAGAAGCTCGAGAAAATCAACCCCGAAGTTGCTACTCCCGAAGAAATCACCGCCTTTGAAACTCATGAGCGAGATGCAACGAAGGTACATTGCATCATGATCGCCACCATGAACTCCGAATTCCAAAAGTCCTACGAGGACATGTATCCATACGAGATGCATCAAGACTTGTTGGAGAGATACCACCAAAACGCGAGACAAGAGCGTTATGAGATTTTCACTAACATGATCTCCGCTAAGATGGGTCATGGAGAATCTCTTACCGTGCACCTGCAAAAGATGCAAAGGTATGTCGACCGCCTTCGCAAGTTAAATGTTGACTTGGTGAAGACTTGGCGATCGATATGGTGCTTCACTCTTTGCCTCCGATGTACAACCAATTTAGGATGACCTACCACATGAACAAAGAAGAGGTCACCCTAAGCAAATCCAAGGTCTCTTGAGGGTCGCTGAGAGCAACTTCAAGGACAAGTCTGTTGCACCAACTCCCAATCCGTCCGCTGCTCCTGTCTTGGCTATTGGTCAAGGGAAGGGAAAGAAGAGGAAAGCTTCATCGAATAACTATCGCAAGGTGAAAGCCCGAGATGGTGCCTCTTCTAGTGGGACCAAAGTTGATCCCGCTAAGCCCTGCTCTAACCCAAAGGAGGCAGAGTGCCACCACTGCCACAAGATAGGACATTGGAAGAGAAGCTGCCCGGATCACCTGCAAGCAATCAAAGAAGGAAAGATCAAGCCATCTTTTGCAGGTATATACACAATCAAATCTAACGATTCTAATCATGCTATTTCTTGGGTTCTTGATACCGGTTGTGGTTATCACATTTGTTCTAATGTGCAGGGACTAAGAAGAAGTAGGGATGTAGAGCAAGGAAGGATCAATCTAATCATGGGGAACAGAAGATCGTCGCCTGTGACCAAGATTGGAGTGTATTCTTTAGTGCTTAGGAATAGTTTGGTTTTAGATTTGAACAATTGTTGCTATCGCCAGAAATGGCTAGAAACATCATTTCATTTCATGGTTTATATAGACAAGGATTTAGATTTTCTTTTAATAATGAGAATGGTTCTATTTTGGTTCATCTAAATGGTGTCTTTTACTTTGAAGCTATACCATGTAATGGAATATATGAAACTGTTATGATTGTTGATAACTTAGGAAATGATGTTTTGAATATTGATTCTTCCACTAGTATGGATAAATCATCCTTGTGGCATTGCCGTCTTGGACATGTCAACAAGAAACGCATAGCCCAACTCCAAAAGGATGGAGTGTTGGAGTCATTCGACCTTAGGGAAGATGACACATGCGAGTCTTGTTTACTTGGAAAGATGACTAAGTCACCCTTCACGAGTACTTGTGAAAGGGGTGAGGGGCTATTGGACCTAATACATACCGATGTATGTGGACCCTTTAGATCAACCACGAAGGATGGGAACCGCTTCTATATTACTTTTACTGATGACTATAGTAGATATGGGTATATCTACTTAATCAAGCAAAAGTCTGACACCTTTGAAAAGTTCAAAGAGTTCAAGAATGAAGTGGAGAATCAATTGGGCAGGAAAATCAAGATGCTTCGATCCGATCGAGGAGGAGAGTACCTAAGTCTTGAATTCCACGATTATCTCAAGGAATGTGGAATAGTTTCGCAATTGACGCCTCCTAGGACACCGCAGTTGAATGGTGTGGCAGAAAGGCGTAATCGGACCTTATTGGATATGGTTCGCTCTATGATGAGTCGTGCTTCACTACCTATCTTCTTTTGGGGGTATGCCTTAGAGACTGCCGCCCATATCCTTAACCGAGTCCCTACTAAGAAGGTTGCCATAACACCTCACGAGATGTGGACGGGGAAAGCTCCCTCGTTGGCACATATCAAGGTTTGGGGTTGCGAGGCTTTCGTAAGACGAGATACTCACGACAAGCTTGAACCTCGAAGTGAGCGATGTATTTTCATCGGCTACCCGCAAACATCCTTTGGATATCTCTTCTATAGACCGAAAGACGATGTTGTCTTTGTTGCGAGGAGAGGAGTTTTCCGAGAGCGAGAACTCATAAGCCAAGGAGACAGTGGGAGGCAAATCGAACTTGAAGAGATTCAAGAGTCGATAGATGAAGGAACCTCTACTGCTGGCATTCAACCCGAGGAGGAAATTCCGGTTGAACCGATTGACGAATCCTTACCTCTTAGACGTTCCGATAGATTTAGAGTTCAACCCCAGTTTTATGGTTTTTATATTACTACCGAAGGG